TGAGAGCACCTCAATACTTGGATGGAAAAATTGGAGAATGTAGACTATCTGAGTCTGTGACCTGTAGTCTCATGTTTCTGTCTTCATCAGCATAGTCAGTCAGCTCTTCTAAGTATTTAAGTTTACATTGAGGAAGCCTCTATCCATCTGACCATCTGGTGACCTCGTATCTATGCCTGAAAACGATAGAACCATGACTGACGTGAGGGAGGTAGAGCTGCGCGAGCACGCGGGCTCGGATCCGGTGGTAGTGGGAAGCGAATCGGGCCTCCGCAAGCGTGCAGATTCAGGGACAAGTGATATATCGGAAGCATTACAGTCAGGTATACTACTTAGTAAGTAGTAGTGGAATTATAATCAAGTAACCTCCTCCCTTAACAGGCTGTTTGTGTACAAATTTCCCCCTTATGTTGAGGTGTGCTGCAAATCTAGATTGGCTTCTTCCCTTTATATAGGGTCGAGGTTTAGGTCCAGCGGCGCTCAAAGCACTAATTAAAACAACCGGTTAGTTTTACCTCTAGAGACTTAGCCCTTCCAACAAAATACTTCGTAAGTAGTAGTTGCTTAGTTGCTTCTGCACGACCTTTTTAGTAGAGTTGACAATCATCTAGTTATAGGATCAAAACTTTGAGCCACTTATTTGGCTTTGTACATAGCTGATCATTGCTAGCTGCTTACTGCAGACCGTGATTGATAGAGGAGTACTAAATTCCTCACTCCAGAATCCGACTTGAAGTTACCCTAAGCCCTACGGTTACCTAAGAAAAAATCCGACTTGAAGTTACCCAAAAAATTCAGAACTTCCGCTTCCCTTTTCCGAGTACAGCAAACTCGACGTTTTGAACCAAAGGGAACGCTTGTGGTGTTCGAGGCTCGTGGTGTCTTCTTTTCTGGACATCTTTGTTTCATTCGGAGTCGCACTAACAGCCCTTTCTGCAGCCTACAAAGATGTCGGAGTAAGCTTGTATTGCATAGGAATACAAGCATTGGCGCATTGCATCTCGAGTATATGCTGCTTCTTGCGCTTTTTCCGGGAGTCAAAGTGGGGCAAGTATGGCGCAAAGGACGGCAGACAGGGAAGCGAGCAGGATGAGGAAGACGCAGTATTGCTGACCGAGAGGAGGCGAGACCTGGTTATTATGCACAGATCTTTACAGTAATCAACAGAATTAGAGGAGGCGAGACCTGGTTCTTATGCACAGATCTTTACAGTATAATTAAGGGTCAACTTTCAACGGTCACCATTTAGATTGGAGTCACTGAGATCGAAGAGGCGACCCCTTCTTGAGAGAACCGAGGGGACAGGGGAAATAAACGAGGGGAAAGGGCGGGAGAGCTTTGAAGGGGGTCGCTTCCGTTCAGAGTCATGATGACCAAGGAATGCAAATGCTGAGCTTTAAAGTAATCAACAGAAACATCAAATCTCTTAGCATTGATTTCACAAGCAACATAAATACTTAAAAACATCATTCCCGTACTACGTGACTACTCAAACTTGCTTGCTTTCTTCTACTAGATCCAGAGTCACAACACCCAAAATACTTAAAAACATCATTCCCAATCCTACTTTCACTTGCTTTCTCTAATCTGCGAGAACAAATCCTCTCCATCGGCATCGCTTGCGCCATGCTTCTTTCTTCCGTAGCTTTGATGTTTAAGGCAGCACGGAAATACCGGTTTTGGGACAGGTGGTACGAAGATCATCAAACCCAAGATGAGTCGATTCGAAGCATGTGCGAAGTCCTAGTTAAGGCTTGCCTTATTTTTAAGTCTAATGTCGTGATCTCCTGATACTCATAAGTACTTATTAATAAGGAGACATCCTGGGTGCATTTTGCAGACATCCTGAAACTACTAGGGGTTTTCTTCAAGTGGAAAAAGGGCAACCTGGAGGTCAAAGGCAACCTGATAGCCTAGGAGAGAGGGTTTTCATTTTCTTCAAGTGGAAAAGATGCCCTTCAGGATTACTATTTCAAGATGGATTGGATCCAAGCAATCAATCAAAAGAAAGATGGATGTGATCGACCTCTAACCTAGCGTGGAAGAGTGGAGCTTTATACTTTCTCCACGCTGGTGTACGATACCTTGCGAGGGCTGATACCCCAGGACACAAATTTACGAATCATATTTTTTGGGTGTCGTTGGTGTCAAGCTTGTACTGCATCGTGCTCGGGATATCGGCGAGGTACTAGTTTTGACTGGGTGACGAAATATATTTGACCGAGGCCTTGAAATTTATTGACTCGATGTCGCTCTTTGCCTCTTCTGCTACCCTAGCTCTACCGCTGTCGATTGTTTGTGGAGCTGTTCTTCCTCTTTCGAGTAATCTCTTCTCGCGTCTGTGATGTCAAATTTTTTCTTCATCCCATCAAAGCTAGGCACAAGAAAAATGTAGTAAAAACGACTGTGAAAGATGATCAAACACCCATCCTCCAAAAGAATCACCCATCCTCCAAAAGAATCACCCATCCTCCAAAACAAACACCCATCTTCCCAACCAAAGAAACACCCATCCAAAACCATCCATCCATCCTCCAAAAAAACCATCCAGCTACCAAAAAGAGTGGTCGTGGAAAGCAGAGCCAATAGCGGCAACGATCATGTCGTTGGGGTGTGTTATAGAGGGAATCCGGATTTGCTACGTGTACGTCGACGATATTGACTTTCTGTTGACGAGGCATAATAGGCCCTAGTTTGCTACGTCGACGATATTGACTTTCTGTTGACGAGGCATAATAGGCCCTAGAGGATTTTGAGGTAGAGGATAGGCATAATAATTTCAATTTTTGAAAGGGCGTGTGATGGGATGACGGGCTTGGGGAGAAAGGGGACGCAGTTCTACAGGAGACCAGTTTATAGGTTTACAATTACATCGCTGCCTCTGATGTGTGACACTTGCAAAGACTTAGAGCTTGTTACCCACTCCACACATGACTTCAACCCTTGCGGGCTTCACTGGGCATCCTATGGCACTTAGTATGTGCTCCCAGGTTCTCTCAAAAAAACGCGCCAATGAGCATGGAAGTGTCGGGGTGATGGGACTCTGTTCGCATTTGATGTGTAGTGACCCATGCACAGTTCTGTGCGAGCGATACAGACACTCATCGGTTGTGATAGCCTGGGCGCCAAGATCAAGGATTCTTGATATTTTTCCTCTCAGTACTAATAAATAAGCACTGGAGCAGCATCCAATGTTCGAAGAACAATGAAGGGTGTTCGTCCCACCTCTTGCCCCTTGCTGTTACAACGTCTCCTACTTGTCGGCACCATAACGCTTTTGCCACACGAGGAGAAAGTCTACGGTTACGCAAGTGATGTTGTGAAGCTGCCTCCGATAAGCAGCTATTTGCAGCGACTTTTTCCTGACGAAGAGAGTTTTCGAAGTTTGAAGATTCCACAACAAGATGTTGTGGCACCAAAGGTTTTGGAGGAGAACGAGAGTTCTGGAAACAATAAGGGGAAAAAGAAGGGACCATCGAAGAAAAAAGTAACGAAGAAGTCTGCAAGAAAAGGCGCAACCAGTAGTTCTTCGATATCTCCATCGATCAAGAAAGAACAACCTGTACCTCTTTCCGAAGACGAAGCAGCCATCAGACAAGACGAAGCTTTGAATACTACTCTGTCCAGAACCCTCGTCGGACGTGCATTTCTCGCAGCAACCAACTTCCTGATGGGATTGGTCGACTTGGAAGACTTCACTACCCAAGCTAGAAACATGACAGCCAAAACGATTTGGGTTTCGGTCATAAGTCGCGCACAGCTGTGTCTGGTGAACAATTTCGTGTCGTGGCTGGCGTTGGGACCGATGGTAGGCTATCCGGGAGAGGAGCCCTTGGTATGAAATCTGACTGAGTTCAACGTAACCCTAATCCTGAGGGCCTAGGCCCTAGGCCCTAGCCCTAAACCCGGTTGTGAATTAGAGCTCACCCGATTCCACCTTGAGACACATCCTCCTGAGCGTCTTTTTGTCGTCAGGATATCTCGAAAGATTCCGATGGTAGGCTATCCGTTAGAGGAACCGTTGGTATGAATAATGGAATCTGACTCCTGAGTTCAACGTAAAGATCTGACTGAGTTCCAATTTCTCCAAGTGGAAGATCTTCACTCACCACCTTTGCTGATACTCCAGTATAAATGACGTTCACTGACGTCGACCTACCATATGGTCTTTAAATAAAAGTGCGATCTGATCAGAACCGAAGTAAGTGAGTCAAATGCATCTACAACTCGCCTTCAATATCCGTCCTTTTCCTCTTCAATCTGGATCGCGTGGCCCACGCCTACTGCAACCGCATGCGCAAGTGGCTGAGCAATCATCAGAAGAGGAGCGTAGTTCATCAGCAACACCGCAATATGTTCGAACTGAAGTGCGTAAAACCTTGGAAGGCGGATGAGGAAGGGGAAAAGGTGACGCATCTAGGTATTAAGGCTCCCGCTCGAGAAGCATCCTCAGCAGCATCCTTGTTTCTTCTTTTTCTACTTTTGAAACAGAAGGCAAGAGTGCTCGCAGGGATGCCACTGCGGCAGCTTCTAAGGGTAGCAAGTTCTTCAACCGCTTGAATTGGGTGAGACCTGCGTTGGCCTACTTGGCGTCGTTCTTGGACTTGAACGTTGTGGTGTCGGACGTCGATATCGTGCACATGCGGTGGCCCTTCCTCGAATCATCTTCCAAAACCAAATCGAAGCAGCGATTCGAAGAACACGTAGTTGTCCCGTTTCGCATTAGCCGCTATCTCGAATCCCAATTGCGCGTTCAGTTGCCGGAAATGACCGACCCGTGGGAACGGTCCCACTACGCCAATGCCGGCTTTTTCTATGCGGAAGTCGCGGAAAAGCGAGTGTTGGCAGCTTGGTTAGGGACCTTGTCGGACAAGTATTACGATCAGCATGGTTTCAACGGGATGCTGGCGCATACCTACGAACGGGATCATCAGATTCACGACACGATATCCTACTTTGATCCCATGCGGGTTTGTGCTTGTCGGGACGCATGTTTCAATGAGACGAAGACGAAGGAAGGTAGTGAATTTGTCGTCCATAGTGGGTGGAACTTGAATTTGTCGTCCATAGTGCAGTAAATCAACATTTTCCGTATTTTCCTACCACACTCTAGTCTATATGAAATTGATGTATTTGACAATCCACTTCTACTACAGCACTCATGATCTTGTTCTCACTTTCGTCAGCTTATATGCTTCTCTTTTCAACACCAGGTACGACCACCACCACCAACACTCTAGTATCCGCAACCTTTTCCTTTCCACCAGGTACCAGCAACAACACCCTACCCGCAACCTTCCCATGGGCCAGTATGCATTACAGTTGCGACGAGAGGGAACCGTTTAAGATTCAAGATATGACAGCAGATAATCTTTGGCGACCTCGGATTAACGTGTCGCATCCAGAGGTTGAAAAGTGTGGATATTCTGGACGCGCTATTGGACCTTTGGGAATGGAATGAAGATATGAAGATGGGGTTCCGTGTTAGGTGGAGGGATAGATTTGCGCTCCAATAGGAGGTACTTATTTACTGGGTGACCTCACAAGTAGACATGCACAGCTACAAACGAGGTTCCATGACATGACAAAGTGTTGATTCCTAGAACGCGTGAGTACTGTGATAGATGTGGTGGTAAGTACTTTGATTTTGGACGTTCGTGATGATGAAGAGCACACTAGACAACTACATCAGGAATTGTTGGACTGTATAAATCGTAAGGTTTTGTACCATGGTCATCTGACTACCATGATCAACGACTGAACCACCTCCGACGATGTGCGTGTTCGTCTGACAGATCTCTTGTTGATTAGGAGCTGCGAGTATCACTGGGCAGCGTAGTACGTAGTTCGGCAGCGCAGTAGTAGTAGTAGTGCAGTAGTAGTAGTCGAGCTTGCTGTGTAGGATCACAGCATTGCATTCATGTTTCAGAGTGATCCCATCAGTGCCTGAGTAAGGACACGCGTGAGCTTCTCATGAAAACGGTGCGTTGAATTTATATCCTGCTAAACGAAGATGAGGTCTGCGCCATCTTCCTCTTCTTCCGTAGCCATCGGACTGCTGCAGCACGCCTGTCGTGGACTGGAGAATCAGATCGGCAATGTAGCAGCTGCCGCACGGGCCTTTCAGCACTCTACCCCTTCGAGTAGCAGTGGTGGTTATCTGAGGCAGAATTGTGCTCCTCGTGGCGGAATCTTTCGCTCCTCTCAAATTTGTTTCGGCAGCGGCCAACGACCTGGGCAGCCAGGCCAAAAGTGGGAAGTCTTTCATCCACCAGTGCGCGAAGACATCAGAACAGTGAGTCCACAAGCCGAGAAGGATTTGAGCAAAGTTCGGGTTGGAGGGTTCGCCAAATATATCCCGAAAAATTTTCAACTCCGTTCCCAGATGGAAGCAGTCCGCTCAGGTGAATTCCTGGGTCCCGACTATCCCTACAACTTTTAAGCTTTTTGGTTGTATAATCCTGACGAGACGGCTTTTTAATGGGAATGAGAATAGAGTAGATGTGTCCTCTGAATAATAGCTCTGAGTAGATGATGTGTCCTCTGAATACGTGTAGTAGCTCTGTCCTCTGAATACGTGTGGTCTCAAAGAATAGGGTAGATGTGTCCACCTCTCAATACGTGTGGTCTCCTCACAGAAGCTCTAACCTTTCCTTGGAATGCCAATGTGGGGCCACAGGAGGTACAATGTGTCATATCACGATATCCCGATTGACGAAAGTGGTGAGATCGGAGTAGTTTATCAGGCAAAGCGAGACGTATGGCAGGTGCAGTGGCACGAGAGGGGCCGCCATCGCCAACGCGTGTTTCGAGCTCAATTTAGCTTTACAGAAGCAAAATACAAAGCTGAAGCGTTCAGAAAGATGTTGGAAAGCACTGGAAGGGTATGCATCCCTAGTTATTTTTGTTAACGTGTTTGTGTGGAGGTCACTTTTAAGTATATAGTGCCTTGGAAAGATGATCACGGTCCTTTTTTTTTTTGGTTTGTACTCCCCGCACTACGAACGAACCCACCACCAGGTCGACAACTGCATGACCGCTCGCCATCGCGCTGTCCTAGAAGATCAAAAAGAGAAGATGCACAAGCTAAAGAAGAAACTTCTAGGAAGAGAAGCGCATATTCGTATCTTTGGTAAACACGGAAACACTTTGCGCGGAAAGTGGGCACATAGGCCGAAGGGAGAGGAACCAGGCCTGAAGAAAAAGCATGGTGCACATTATCCGAAGTGGTAGTTGATCTGCAAGTATTTCGAAGATACCTGTGGTTAGTATTGTTCGGTATTTGACTCCCACATTGAAAGTAGGATCCTCATCAAGAAAGTGAAAGTTTGTCATTCTGAATTGCAAACCGACTGAAAAAAGCTGGAAAAAAGACGCTCATTGAAGAGAAGAAGGACATGATGAGAAAAAGCATCTTCTAAAGAAGTGTTCCGTGCAAGCATCAATGCGTAGATCATAGTCAGGTGAGAAAGAGCATGTTGCAGAATCATGATGTTCTTCTTGGAAATGATAATTACCACCCCAACCACAAGTGATCCGTCTGAATTCTATTGCATCGTGAAAATAGTGCTTTGACACAGGAGATCCATCTTCTTCTGGCTTCCGCAAATTTTGTTGATTCACTCGCGCATTTCTGACCCTGATCCAACGTTGATGTGTTGATGGTGTTGCCTTCGTTTGTGAATGCAACCTTGTATACTTTTGATTGCGAAAATTATGCTTATCAGGCAGTACCTCCGTACTGGTAACCTTGTTGGTATGCATTTGCCTTACGGTTCTCATTCTTCGATAAACATATTAACTTCTTCGTCGCCCATGTAGTTTACGATTCTTGAATATCATGAACTAGAGGAGGACGAAACATGTTTCCTTGCCCCATGGTGCTTATCCTCCTTTCAAACCTGCTAGAACACAAAGTTTATGAGTTTCAACTCTGCTAAACTAAATAATAAGCAGCGACAACCGAAATACTGATCTTAGAAAGTCCTAGGTTCATCTTATTATATAATAGTGTAAGGCTTAATGGTTCAGTACTAAGAATCAATATCAAAAGATGAGTTCTTCTTTCAAACGATCTGCAGATGTCCTTCGAGAAGAAGAGGAGGACGTCACGCGCAAGGTTCGACGTTATGTCGAAAGCGTGGGCGCGACTCTCTGGGATTTTTTGAGCGGATCTACATCTCAGCGACAACAGCGACAAAATGAGAATAACTCTCCAACAAGCAATTATGGTGCTAATGGTTTTGGTGGCGCCAGTCTTGGAGATCATGTTGGTGGTCGGAACTTCTTCTCTGGGCGTAATCGAGGAGGAGCATCTTCCTCATCACGAGGAGGAGGTAAAGGCTCCCTTTTCCGGGAAGATATTCAATCTTTTTCGGGTGTTTCTGAACGACCGACCTTGTATCAACCGCAGTCTGAAGGGCTTTTGGCCAGGATTCGAAAGTTCTGGGAAGAAGAGGAGGACCCGTTGCCGGTCTTTCCGAAAAGAAGACGCAGAAACTTGGAAGGAGGTACTTACTTCTTACATATTTGTAGAAGAACATGTGAAAATGACCATCTCCTGATTTACCACTGCAATTATTCTTACACTTTCCCTTTTGATGTTCTTACTTCACTGTCACTACTAACATATTACTGGTTGTTTCTTACATCATGCGAGTGCAACATGATGATGAGTTCTTCCTGTGAATAAAAACTACAGCTACTTGGCTGTTCCTCCGGAATAAATCGCTCTAAAAATAATCAGACTTCGTTTCTTCCGGCCGACTCCTCCCACCTGAGCATGGATACTATGAGCACGAGGATGATGTCTATGCGAGACCTCCGGAGCCTATTTGGGTCACCTATAGACCGACAGAGCCACTACTCAATCGACGAGAGGACTATCTACATGCTGGAGGAGAACCTCCCATAAGGGCTATTGAGGTACAGAATTCTTTTTCGAAACTATCTGATAAGACAGCTTTTTCTATCATGTTAGACAACTTTTCCATGATTTTATTATTTCTCCTTTTCTGAGCTTCTTCGACGAATCAACGAGCTTATTCAAAGAATCAGCGAGCTTATTTCTGCGACCTAAGTGGATCCTCCGTCTTATGAAAACCAAAACAGAACGGACACTACTACACGCGGGCCTACATGATGGGACCACCGCGACTTTCTCGTGGATCGCGTAGTAGCAATGGGAGCCGCAGAAGTGGTGAGAACAAGCAGCAGCACGTGGTCATCAAATCAAATTCAAAGAACCGACCAGGTGGCGCTCATCGTGGACGTCTTTCCCCCTCCATAGACGAAAGCGGCAGTGTTCCACATCATGCGACTGGAATGCAACATGGGCGTCCCAACTACGCCAACTACAAGAGGAGCGCTTCTGCTTCGCCTACAAATCGTCATCAACATGCTAATCCTAGAAATGGCACATCTGCTGGTCCCAATGCTGATGGTGTTTCTTCAAAGACGACCACCACAATAAATGCCCCCTCGAACAACAAGCCTGTTGTGACCTTCGCAGCGCGAAAAGCAGGTCGTTTTGGCCGACTGCTAGAGGACCACATTCAGGTGGATGTGCTGGCTGGATCAGGTGCAGCAAACCATGACACCAGCACTTCTAACGCTTTTTCTGCCGACGACCACATGCTTCTCAAGTTAAGGCTCTCACTAGTTCATCTTTCACGTGCATCCTTGAAACGTAGTATGAGGGAGTATCTATTGTAGTAGTTAGGGGGCAATGCTCTGTTCTCCTCTCGTAGTATGAGGGAGCAATGCTCTGCTCTGCTCTCCCCTGCCTTTCAAGGATGCTGCTGAAAGATGAATAGTGGATAGCTCTAATCAAGACGAGAGAACAGCAGTTGAGAGCGGCTTATGGCGAACCAGTAGCGGTTGGGGAAAAACGACACAGCATGCTGCCTCCGCGAAGACCCAGTGGAGGCTGGAAGAGACCAAATGCTGGTCTTTCGAATGCGGGTCTCAAAGCAGAAGGAGCCGCGGAGAAAAATACTAGTCGTAAATTTGAAGGAACAGGAGCCGCTGGTAGTGCAGCTTCTGGCGGTGCAGCTGATAGCATATTTGGAGTTGGGAATTCTGGAGGTACAACCTCGACATCGAAGCAGGATGCTGCTAAAGAGCAGGATAAGGCAACTACATCTATCTTTAGTGTTTCTACTGATAAAAAGGCGGAAGAAAAAAAGACTAGTATCTTCAATGAGGGTAGCATTTTTGATGCAGCGGCAGCGAACAAGAACATTGTGAAAGACGACAAGCCAAAAGCACCGCCAACTTTTTCCAGTGCGGCAGGCTCCGGATTTTCTCTGGACAACACAAAGCCTAGTGGCGGTAACCCGTTTTTGAAGCAAATTCAAGCGGGTTCCAAGTCTGAACCCAAGAAAGCTGAAGGAGTAGCAGCAGAAGCGAAGTCAAGCGGCTCGATATTTGGTGGGACTAGTGCTAGTGCAGCAGCAACGACTGATGCTAAGGCAGGGTCCATATTCGGCGGAGGTGCGCCCGCAGCTACTGATGCTAAGGCAGGGTCGATATTCGGCGGAGGTGCACCAGCAACCACTGATGTTAAGGCAGGGTCGATATTCGGCGGAGGTGCGCCCGCAACTACTGATGTTAAGGCAGGGTCGATATTCGGCGGAGGTGCGCCAGCAGCTACTGAGGCTAAAGCAGGGTCGATATTCGGCGGAGGTGCGCCAGCAGCTACTGATGCTAAAGCAGGGTCGATATTCGGCGGAGGTGCGCCAGCAGCTACTGATGCTAAAGCAGGGTCGATATTCGGCGG